GGTGAAAAGCAAAGGGGTACAAGTATCAAAACTAAAAAAATTGAGTTATATGCAGGAATCAACACTTAATACCAATATCTATTACTCTATAGGTATGTATTAGAAACCAAAAATATTATGTATGAAAATGCGTGTCAGGTTGCAGCACCCAGCGCTCCCCACCCTTCCGAATTTACGAACTCGAACGAAGCTAATTCCCTATGTAGCGTTCCGTTATAAATGCAACTAATTAAAAAGGAGCACCTAGGAGCACTTGAAATTGATTTAAAATGTAGAAGCTGGTATTAGACAATGTTGGTAGTGGTTTCCAACTGTAGGCAAATGTAGCTAGTAGTCAGATCAAAGTATTTCTTTTTGATTTGATTGTAACAGTTATTTCGAAATTTAAAAATACCATTGCATATTGCATTAATAGTATATTGAATTTATGACTTTTTCCGCGAAATCCCCACTGTGCGTCGCGGCGTCCTCTGCGTGGGCAAACAACGTATCCATTTAAATATCACCAAAGCTATAGATTATAAAACGGTAACCGGCCGATATTGTTTACTGGCATTGTTTTAATTGTTAGGCTTGCAGCAGTCACGACCGGTAACGATTTTTTTTATGGTTTTAATGCTTAGTAGCATGGAGAATTGAGTTTCTAACAAACACTGCAATTGTTCATGTTCAACGCAGTCCATAATATGAACATATAAAAATGTTTTTCTCAGGAATTTTAGCTCAGGTTATTTAAGTGAATAAACTTTTTTTGGTGTGGATTTTCTCCGGCCGGCTATCGGCTTGCCTTATCCATTATTAAATTTTAGAGCCGGCCGGAGTGGTCTGTTTAAAGATTAAGAACTGTTACAATAGAGTTTAATATTTGTTATACGAGTATACAGTATGTAGATGATGATGGCGATAAAATACAATAGTTGGACATGTGGTTTTTCTGACTAATGTAAATATTAGCTGTTCGTAATAAATTAAACACCGTAGATGAACACCTCTGCGATGTTTAAAGCTGTTTGTATTCTTCTTTTCAGTTTACCAAGAATGTTAAGCAAAAATGGCATACTTGAATCCAAAGTATTTATGTTACACATTTTGTCCGATAACTTCAGTTAAATAAATAGTGTTCCCTTAAACTTTGTTTTTTTCTTTACAGACCTAATCCTACTTCAGCAAATCTAGTGAATGACAGATTTTTTGCTAGAATAAAAATATTTCAAATAAAATAAAAACTACAAAGGTAGTTATACTTATGCAAACGGATGCACGAAAATTGCATTTTAATCCAAATAAAAATGTTACCAAATGTGTAAAGCTGAAAATGAAGCAAACTGTCAAATAATTGGAGATTATTTAGCTAAACAATCTATACAAATTGCATGGTATCATACATTTATAGGCATGAAATATGTTTATGCTGCATGCAGCAATGTACATTTGGGGCTTGTGTGTTTAATTTTTTTTTTTAATAGAAAAATAATTAATTCCAACCTGTGCAACTCTACTGATGTGGTCATTGTAGCAGGTGCCACATATACTGTTGGTATGCCATTTGTATAGCGTTGATAAATATTTGGCAAGTGAGGACATGTTTTCGAATATATCGATATGCACCATCCTCACGATGCAGCATTAGTTTTCGTTTGATAAATTTTTGACAAGTGATCAAAAAGTGATCAAATAATCTGGTGCCAGATTAATTTTCAAAATTGTTTGCCTTTTCAGTTAAAGAGACAGTACCTAATAATAAAAATTTTCGCCACTGTCTTCAGAAAATGAAATTAAAATTTTTGCTAGACAAAATTCATTGCATTAAAAAGGTTTAGAAATAGAAAAGCTTTAATTTCCGTGCTAAACTTGGCTCCACGTTAAATATTACTCGCTAATTGTACTTGATCAAAAACAATCTTGAAAACATGCGGCCCATCATCAGTTTAGTTGTTAGAGTTTAGATAACAAGTATTTTTTTCACAGCTCGTCTATGAAAATTAATCAACATTTGCCATAAAATGCAAACATTTCAGTCAGAAAGTTGGTTTGACCTTAGGGATCAATGTGACTCATGATCAAATATACATCTGAACGTAAAATTTCCTGCTTTTTCCATTTCTGGATAAAACAAATGGGGTTACTATTTGAAATTCTGAAGTTGACCTGCAAAAAATGACCCCTAAGTTTGACCTCTGGATCAAAACCAAAGTCATTATAGTACGGCCCCCTTAAAACCTTAACAACTGTTCTGAAAGTTTTTCAATTGGAAGTCATCTTGCAAAGTTATTCGGAGTGACCGATTAAAATCGGACACCCTGTATAATAACCAGACGCGACATTATCTGCGCGAAAACTTAATTAGAAATGATGATTCCTACGCAAATAACAAAATGTGTTTGGGAATGAACAATTCTGATTCCCAGACATTAGGATAACATAACTGCAAAGAGGTATCGTGGCATAATATGCAGTAAACTGGATATCTCCTCAGATGTCTGGTCCTCGGACGTTGACAGCAGGTTGAAATAGTTCAAAATACTTATTAAGATAGCAGAAACGAAAAAAGGTAATATTGGTTCCATGCTAATGAACCATTAATATTATAATACAGAGTTAATCAAAGAGTATTTTCTCAATTTTGTAGAAGGGTAGCAAAATAAACATACGTGACTTCTCCAGTTTAATCAGAGACATATGTAGACATATTAATGCAATACTTATTTATTATAGATGGACTTTTGGAGCATAGACCAGTTTTTTTTAATATATATTTAAGTATTCGGTTGAATTGAAAGGAAAGATATTTCATTTTAACACTATGCTGCCCTCATACAAATTCCAATACCCCTCGCAACGTTCGATGTGTATACCTACGAGACGTATTGAAATAATAAAATTCCGCATTATGTTCTCTTAATACAAATGTGCGCGTTCAATTTTACCTAAAGTTATCAGAGTAGCAGAAGTTTTTCAAATTATATGTAGAAATCGTACACAATATACATACCTATAAATAGCAAATGAATACCGAGAGTTTCGAGTCCACATTTTATTTATAATTTCCATCTTTGCTCGAGAGAACAGACTATTATTAGGGTTATAGAAATATGAAAAGGTAGTTTGTTGCAGGCACAGCATCTAATAAGAAAGTTTTAACTCCGTATGCATTCCCTTGATCAATGTTTCGACAGGATAACAGATAGAGAACAAGAAGCAAACACGACAAAGCATTTATTATGCAGATGCATTGGCGCCGTGCAATGAAAATGAGCATGCCCCTTAAGTCAAAACTTTATTAGTACTTAAATAGTTTCCTGGACTACTTAAACGCTCAATTCGTTAACAACGCGAGGTCTCTTGGTGTAAAAGATATTACAAACCACAATTTTTCAATTGCCGCTAAATTGCCAGTACTATATTTATGCCGGTAATTGGTCATTTATTTTCAGGACTACAAAGCATCAAACGATTTTCCACTTTAGTCGTTCGCTGGGAGTTCTTAAAATAACACGATTAGCCCTTTCAGGTGCTACTACCCCGAAAATGGAATACTCCATGGAGCAAATCGATAAGTACTTCGATATTTTCGACTATATCGTGTTTGCTGCGATGCTTATAGTTTCCGCGCTTATCGGGGTATATTTTGCATTCTTCGCCAAAGTTAAACAAAACACAACCTCGGAATATTTGATGGGTGGCAAGACCATGGGCATATTTCCCATATCGATGTCGCTCATTGCTAGGTAAGTACTTTTGTATATGTAAAAGTTTTTTTAATGGAAAGAATTTGTTTGGGGGAGATCTAGTTATTTTGTATAGACATTTACGTTTGATATTATCAAAAAAAAAACTGTCATAAAACGTTTCTTTGATGTTTTAAAATATTTATTTGCTTTGGGTTTAGAGAAGATATATATGAAAACTTGAGTTGCCTTGTACTTAAAAATAAAAATATCGTAAAAAGTAATTTGAGTGTTCTGCCTAAAATATTTAACGTGCTTGTACACCGTGTAGTTGAATTTTGAACATTATGAAACAATTTTCAAGATACCTACATTGTGTATAACACTTATACATATATAACTTTAGTAAATGTTGAATTATTCATTCCTGGTTGTGATAAGTAGTTAGTTTGATTATACATTGTCTCTTCATTCCTAAAGTATTTCCGTTGATATAAAATTCAAGATTATTCGATAATTTTCGATCTTCATTTTAACAAAGACCTAATTGCTTGATTCAAAACAAAACAAAAATCGTTTCACCTTAAATGAAAAGAGTTTACGATCAACCGTCATTATTACACAGGATCGCTGATACAGGATGAGCCATTAGTGTGAGAAAGTAAAATAACTCCCTTGTTACTCATAATACAGAAAAAACGTTTATATAAAAGTTATACAGAATTAAGAAACCTAAATTATAAAATTAATTTGATACATAGAAGGGGATGAGTAAAAACAGGACACGATAAATATTACATTTTTTAAATGGAACACCATGTATATTTTTACATATATGAATTTCCGAGAAAATTCTATATGGCAATATAAACAGTTTATCATTTTAGTGCGGGGTTGCCAAGTTATGTAGAAAATTCTTCGAATTTTTGGAATAAACATGACCTCGAAGAAATTGTATTAACTTTCAACCACTAATACTTGGAGCAAAAATATTTGACAGACCTATAGGCAAATGTTAGGCAAACACTCTTATATTAGCTAATATCGATATTTTTTACAGGGCATTTATTATTACTTCATTTTAAGAAAGTTCAAACTTGATTTTCTAAAATTCTTCAAATGGAACACCCTGTATCTTATTGTTCTATTTTAATCACATATCAGTCCACTTCAACTTTTATTAAGTATGTTCTACACCTAAAGTTGTTAGTTTTTATGAGATATAGCAACATTTCTGGAAAAACCTAATTTTTATTATTTTCGGCCGCACGAAATGGCATTGGAAAAAAACCGTCACATTGTTTCAACTTGTCAGTTCATAATTTATCATTCCATTTTGTTTTAGTTTTTTTCGTTTGTTTTTATTTGTTTTGTTCTATTTATTGGTCAATGTTATTTTTTTTCTGCTATGTTGGTTTATCTTGATATTTTGTGCTTTTCGTTTTTTATCATGCTTTCTTTTTTTTGAAGTTTACCGTTGTTTTTCTAAAATTTTTCAATTGGATCCCCTTTTTTTTTTTTGTTCTGTTTTATTCACTTATGTTTCCACTTTCTCTTTTTTTTCGTATTTTCTATATTTCCTTTTGTTAGTTTTTGATATTTTGTAATTTTTGTGCCTTTGCCTAATTTTTGTTTTTTTCTCTGTTTCCTTATTTTGTTCTTAGTTTTTGTAATTGACTGTTAATGGAATGATAAATTATGAACTGACAAGTTGACACAATGTGACGGTTTTTTTCCAATGCCATTTCGTGCGGCCGAAAATAATAAAAATTAGGTTTTTCCAGAAATGTTGCTATATCTCATAAAAACTAACAACTTTAGGTGTAGAACATACTTAATAAAAGTTGAGGTGGACTGATATGTGATTAAAATAGAACAATAAGATACATGGTGTTCCATTTGAAGAATTTTAGAAAATCAAGTTTGAACTTTCTTAAAATGACCGTAATAATAAATGCCCTGTATAAAATATCGATATTAGCTAATATAAGAGTGTTTGCCTAACATTTGCCTATAGGTCTGTCAAATATTTTTGCTCCAAGTATTAGTGGTTGAAAGTTAATACAACTTCTTCGAGGTCATGTTTTTTCCAAAATTCGAAGAATTTTCTACATAACTTGGCAACCCCGCACTAAAATGTTAAACTGTATATGTTGCCATATACATATATAGAATTTTCTCAGAAATCCATATGTTTAAAAATATACAGGGTGTTTCATTTAAAAAATGTAATATTTGGCGTGTGCAGTTTTTACTCATCGCTCTGTGTGTTTCAAATTAATTNGAAAGTTCAAACTTGATTTTCTAAAATTCTTCAAATGGAACACCCTGTATCTTATTGTTCTATTTTAATCACATATCAGTCCACTTCAACTTTTATTAAGTATGTTCTACACCTAAAGTTGTTAGTTTTTATGAGATATAGCAACATTTCTGGAAAAACCTAATTTTTATTATTTTCGGCCGCACGAAATGGCATTGGAAAAAAACCGTCACATTGTGTCAACTTGTCAGTTCATAATTTATCATTCCATTAACTTTCAGTTACTAACACTTGGAACAAAATAATTAGACAGAGTTATAGGTCAATGTTAGGCAAAGGCTCCTAAATTAGATAATATCGATATTTTGTACAAGGCATTTTTTATAATACGATCATTTTTAGAAAGTTTAAACTTGATTTTCTAAAATTTTTCAAATGGAACACCTTGTATTTTATTGTTCTGTTTTATTCACATATCGGTCCACTTCAACTTTTATTAAGCATGTTCTATATCTAAAATCGTTAGTTTTTAAGATATAGCAACATTTCTGAAAAAAAATAATTTTTGTTATTTTATAGAATACCACAAATAAAAATTAACTAATAAAATTAACTCAAAATGGAATGATAAATTATGAACTGACAAGTTGAAACAATGTGACGGTTTTTTTCCAATGCCATTTCGTGCGGCCGAAAATAATAAAAATTAGGTTTTTCCAGAAATGTTGCTATATCTCATAAAAACTAACAACTTTAGGTGTAGAACATACTTAATAAAAGTTGAGGTGGACTGATATGTGATTAAAATAGAACAATAAGATACATGGTGTTCCATTTGAAGAATTTTAGAAAATCAAGTTTGAACTTTCTTAAAATGACCGTAATAATAAATGCCCTGTATAAAATATCGATATTAGCTAATATAAGAGTGTTTGCCTAACATTTGCCTATAGGTCTGTCAAATATTTTTGCTCCAAGTATTAGTGGTTGAAAGTTAATACAACTTCTTCGAGGTCATGTTTTTTCCAAAATTCGAAGAATTTTCTACATAACTTGGCAACCCCGCACTAAAATGTTAAACTGTATATGTTGCCATATACATATATAGAATTTTCTCAGAAATCCATATGTTTAAAAATATACAGGGTGTTTCATTTAAAAAATGTAATATTTGGCGTGTGCAGTTTTTACTCATCGCTCTGTGTGTTTCAAATTAATTTTGTCCTTTAGGTTTTTTGATTCTGTATAACTTTTATATAAACTTTTTTTCTGTATTACGAATAACAAGGGAGTTATTTTACTTTCTCACACTAATGGCCCACCCTGTATGTATGGAAACGGTCGATTATCTCCTAAAATAAGATAGCTATTGAAAAATCATAAGAAACGAACGATTTAGGATGTTTTAAAATCTATTACAATAAAGAAAAATTAAATATACAGGATCAGTCGAAATGTCAAAGAAAGAACATCCTGTATATTTCAATTCTTGAAATTCTAAAAAAAATTCATACAGCACCTCATGTACCTAAATTAACTGTTTTCGAGATATCAAACATTGAAAATAATTTTCTAATAAATTATTCAAAAATATTTGTCCATCAAGTTACCTTTGAAAGTTTCAAGCTTCACAACAACGCCCCGTCATTTTTTTGTCTAATAGTAACTATCTTGACTTGACTTGACTATCATGTCAAAAATTTAACAAATTTATACAGTTTTCTCGAAAGCACTCGACCATCTTGATCACAAATTATTTTTATCTAAACAAAATTCTTTTGAGTCATGTTCTGCATTGAGGAAACTTATGTCTCTGTTCTCTGTATACTTAGAACTAGTATAATTAGTATACTAATTATTATTAGAACTCTGTTCATCGTCATCGCAGCTTATTGGTTCAGTAGATCTCGATTTGTTCAAGTTTCAAGACTCGAAATCGCCCAGACTTCAGGAGTTCCATTGGGTTCAGATCTTGGACAATTTATGTTTACAATTATTTTTTGTGACATTGTTTCTCACTTGAACGCATGCTACTTTAATTTAAAGGACCCCGCACTTTTCTTATCCTAAAGTTCATAGTTTTCGAGTTACGTTGACTTTAGAGCAATAACTCTGTATTCGAAGGGGTAAAAATTTTATTTGATATTTTTTGTTTGCGTTTGGATTACCCAAGGTGTACCACGTGGAGGTTGCAAAATCGGTCCAACACCTCTTTGGGGTGGCTTTTTTACCGTGAGGTCCCTTTGCCTCCCACCATCAGAGTCTTTTTTACCGTGAGCTTCCCTTACTCACTAATCTTAGTACGTCTAGATGCATGTATTTTTATTTTCATGGATCCAATATCATCAATTTCTATGTTATTATATATGTTGAGTTGAGACTATCATTAATATACTCACAGGGGATAATCTAAGGAATTCCCCCCGCCCAAAAAAAAAGATGCAGTACTTTTTAAATGCCGGACAATAATATCTAATTCTTTGTTATATAGGTAATAATAATAATAATATTCCTCATTCTAACTGCGAGAATTAGCCCAGAAGTCGGAGACTTGTGCGGAAGAGGAGGCGGCATATTATTATTACGCAGGCCGCATTTGCGCCCAGGAACGACTTATGTTGGTAGGCCCTAACCACCATTCAGTGCAGGAATGAGGGAAACCTGGAAAACCTCATTAATTAGGGGGGTGATCAAATGCCAACCGGTGACAATCTCTCACATTGACCCAAGCCAACCTTCTTCCACTCTACCATACCTGCACAGAGGGTGCCAATCCTCCGCACAAGCATAGCTAATC